GCTTTTTTTTGCTGCTTGGGGCAGCAAAAAAGCTAGAGCCGGCCCTGTATCTTGAGCAGTTGGACTGCAGCCTGTAGCATATGAATTGGTCCAGGTGTCAGGAAATAGAGAAAAAATGAAATGGAAGAAAAAGAAACAAGGGCATAAATGACCACATAAACCTATTGCTCCCAACTCTCATGATTTGACCATGGGCCCTGCAACATTTGGTGTTTTGCTAATAACCCACAGCTCCTAGAACTGTCTAACTATGTGAGAATTTTTCATTTATTAAAAAGTGGAGTTCTAGCCCTGCTGATTGACAAGAAAAGCTGGTAAATGGACCCCTAAGGGCTCAAATACCAGAAGGCAGATAAAAAGCCCCTAAAGTAATTGTTGTATTTTAAGATAATCTCATGTATTTTGAATGTTTAGGGTTGGCAATTCTGTAGCCTGAAATCGCTGGAGAACAGAAAACCAAAGAAGACAGAGTAAAAGAGGAGAGATCTGGGCTCAGGAACCGGAAAGGTAGGAGTGGGGGATTTAAAGATTGATAATGGGGAAAAAAGAGTAGTCTAAATCAAGAGGGAAATACATTAAACTTTCATTTGATATAATTACCCATTTGTATTAATAGCCTTCTGATTTCTTTGCATTATTTATAAAAGTACTTGGTATGGTTGATTCAGTATAGGACTGGGAATTCTTGCTTCTAATCCCAGGCATGCCAATCCTTTGTGGTCTTGAGACTCTGGTCCCTTAAAATGTATTCCTGGAATCACAGAGACCCGCAAGACAAGTCTTTGGTAACTTTCTTATTAGCAAATAACGTCAGGAAATGAGAAATCTCCATTTTAGTTTAGGAGAGAATAATGCATTGCTTCCCACTAGACATTTCATATCCAGGGCTGTCAAACAAAATTTGATTTTTTTCAGCAGCCACCTAAGAGAGATTGAATAAAGAATGTCCCTGAGATCCCTGAATCAACACACACAATAGTCTAGGATGGATAAGTATAATACAGCAAGTAAGGTATGCATGTCCTGACCTATCAAGACTGAAGATAGTGTCCTCCAAGAAATAGTCATGTTCCACACTGATTCTGTTCTTACAACTCTCCATATATCAGAGCATCGTGCGTCCTGTCCTTGCAATTCTTATGACAGCAGTGCAGAGCTGTGCAGGCTCCATGCATCTGCACAGGTACTAGAACTAGAGGTTTGGGGGGTGGTGCCACAACCCCTGGCTTGAAGTGGTTTCCATTACATACAGGGTTTACGGTTTGTTTCAATGGCTCTCAGCACCCCCACTACACAAATTGTTCCAGCCCCCCTGTGTGTCTGTCAGAGATGACAGACAGCTAGGAGGGCTGCGCGGGTTTGTGGGATTTTTTTTTAAAGGTGTGAAAATTGTGGGATGTAGATGATATTATAGGATGGAGACAGTTGCTGGGAAGCTGACCCCATGCTCCTAGTCACCCTGCGTGACTCCTTTCTGCCCCACCATGCGTTGCGAAAACTTCCCAAAAGAGAGTGCGCTGGATGGCTGTGGGTTGCACACTGGGATACCTCCCCATGGTGTGTCACCCTGTACAGCAACACGAGCACTCTTAGTGAGAACGCACGCAGACAAGCAATATAACAACTGCGGCAGCTTTATGCTGACATAACTTGCATCGATCAAAGTTTGTAGTATAGACATGGCCTCAGTCTTCCACTCTTCATAGAGCTCCATTTCGGACTCTTTGTATATCTGAACAAGCATAAAGTAAATTCCCCCTCTCTCCCACAAGCATGTTTTAGGGAAAATGGCAATTTTAAAAATAGACACCCCCACCCCCCCACACACACACACCCTAGATGGGTTGATTCTATATTTGTTCTAGAAGCTAAGTAAGGTGAGTGGAAACTTCTATGATCTTTTAGCTTTAAAAATATTGCTTTAGCAGAGAATAATCTTTTATGGTACAACAAACTGTTCCAGCTATTTAAAAATATTTGGCGGCTGTCTGCATAAAAAGTGACTTCCCAGCTGTGGAAGGGTGAGTACCACTAGCCTATAGGCATCTTAGGGCTTGTCTAGACTTGGAGTAAAAGTTTAAAAAGTGCCTAAATCCCATTTTCAAAAGTAATTTAGGCACTCAGGAGCCTAACTCACTTAAACACTTTGACCCAATGTAACTCTATTGTAGGCACTACAAAAGTGAAAAACAGGGCATGTACCAGACCAACTTACTTTGGTAACCTACTGGAAAGATCTTGTCAGTATTTTACACTACATTTTACATCTACAATAAATGCAGTTCATTCATACTGGAAGTTTCCACCACTAAAACTATAGTGTGTGTATATATAGTAAAACTATAGTATAGCCAGGGCAGTAGGTGCTGATCCTGCAACTGGATCTACATGGAGAGAGTTCTCCATCCATTAAGATCCTCATTGAGGTCTATGGGGTTCCATACAGCTGCAGGAGTCTGCGCATGTGGATCCAGTTGCAGAACTGAGGTTGAAGATGCCTCTTAGTTGTGTCTAGCTGGAATGCTGCCCTCCTAAGGTCAACATGACTAACATTTATATTGACATATTTCTTTTTTCTCTTCTTATTACTGGAATCTCTAAGTTTATCATTATTATGAATAAGGCTGCAAGTTTGTCACGGAGGTCATGGAAGTCACAGATTCTGTGACTTTCCATGACTTCTGCAGCGGCTGATGCAGCTGGCCCGAAGGCCACCTGAGCAGCTGGGGCAGCCGCACCAGCCGCTGCTGGGGCAGTTTTGGACCACTGCCCCTGCAGCAGCAGCAGGAGTTTGGGTGGGGGGTTCAGGTCTGGGGGTTGGGGTGCGGGGAGGGGTAAGGGCTCTGGGCGGCGCTTACCTCAGGGGGGTGAAGGGGGAGGCTCCCTGGAAGTGGCGACATCCCTTGGCCCCTAGGGGGAGGCACAGCCAGAGAGCTCTGTGCACTGCCTCCACCTGCAGGCACTGCCCCCGCAGCTCCCACTGGCCATGGTTCCCGGCCATTGGGAGCTGCGAAGCTGGTGCTCGGGGAGGAGGCAGCACACACAGCTGCCTGGCTGCGCCTCCGCCTAGGAGCTGAGGGATGTCACAGTTTCCGGGGAGGCTCGGAGCTGGGTAGGGAGCCTGCCAGCTCCACCAACCCCGGTGCCCCAGCATCAGTGGGGATCCTGGGCTGTGTGCTGCTGCCCCTCCCCCCCATAGCACCCGTGGCGCCCCCCCGATCACCCGCAGCACCCCCAAGGTGTCCCCCTCCCCAAGATTTAGTCAGGGGTAGGTATATAGTGCAAGTCATGGACAGGTCACGGGCTGGGAATTTTTGTTTACTGCCCATGACCTTTACTAAAAATACCCATGATTAAAACGTAGCCTTAGTTATGAACAAGTGACTAATAGAAGAATTAATTTGGTTTGGGGGTGGT